GCGGTTTTGACCGTACGCACCAGAATCACTTCTAGCCACTCCCAGGTGAACGGCAGTCAAAAGTTTTGCCCACTTACGTTGACTTCTTCATACGGAATTATCCTCCACATCTTTTCTGCCTTCTGGGGATTAGCTAGAGAAGCAAAGCGAATGGGTCTGGTGGGAACGATTACAAAACGAAGTATCTCCTATCATCACACACAGTCAGAACATACACGTCTTGGCACCCACGTCACTGTTCAGAGTCACAAGTTGGGAAAAGTAGACGACTTCGTTTATTTAAGTGGGCTATTGAGAAGTAAAGTCCTCTCTCGTCGTACAAAAGCACACTCTATAAGTCACTCATCATGCCTGTGCTGGTGTATGGCGCGGAGCCATGGACAATGAAAATATCTGATGAAGCGGCTCTGAGTTTTCGAGAGAAGGATTTGCGGAAGATTTATGGGCCTTCGCGCTTTAGAGATGGCGAATATCGGAGACGATTTAACGATGAGCTTTACCCACTGGGAAAAAAGGTAAGTTCCTTACGAGGTAAGCCATGTTTTCTTTCAGTTTTTAGTACCAAGATTGTCATCATGGCCAATGTCATCTACTAGTAAAGCGCAAAATGAACACCTCCGACGACACATTACGTTGTCAGTTGCAAAGTAACGTGCAGCCGAAGTTATTTCCAAGCGCCGAACTAATCAAAGCGACTGCTCTGCATTACACGTAACTTACTTTGTAAAGCGGTTTATAGGTATGTCTGATACCAAATGTACATTCTTAATTCCTACTTACATAAGGCGGCCATGTCTTTGTTAAAGTAATGGAGATTCGGCAGGGAAGTGGTAAGGGCCGCCAGGTGAAGGACAATACCTTACCAGCAACTTACACTTCACCCGGCTGTCCTTACCACGTCACTGACTCCCTTACTTTAACAAAGACGTGGCCGCCTTATGTAAGTAGGAACTTAAAATGTACATTTGGTATGAGACATACTTCTGAGCCGCTTTACAAAGTAAGTTACGTGTAATGCAGAGCAGTCGCTCGGAGTAGTTCGGTGCTTGGAAATAACTTCGGCTGCACGTTATTTTGCAACTGACAACGTAATGTGTCGTCGGAGGTGTTCATTTTGCACTTTACTAGTAGATGACATTGGCCATGATGACAATTTTGTTATTAAAAACTGAAAGAAAACATGGCTTACCTCGTAAGGTGCTTACCTATTTTCCATTTCATAATATGTGATGTTCTGTCAAATGATGTCACATCATGTGTACTGATAACAAAATCGATAGTAACATCGACAAAAATATCGATAGCAAAAATGATAAAATTATAGATAACAAATTCGATAACAAATTTTGATAGAAAAATCGATAGCAATATCGATAAAAATATTGATAGCAAAATCGATAAAAATATCTATAAAAAAAAGATAAAATATGTACAAAAATATCGATTATTATATCGGTAAGTCCCGAGAATACCGAAAATTCCGAAATAGTTCCCAGGTTGAGTCTGTGTCTATCATACATAAGTATATCCTTTTCTTTATAATTACTTTTATTTTAATCTTTCTTCCTCTATCTTCCTCTTTACTTTTATCGGTATCCTCATCTTTTTCTTATTGTTGATCTTTGTTTTTATCTTTATGCTTATCATTTTCTTCATCTACATATTCCCCTTCCCCTTATAGGTCTTCATTTTTGCATTTATCTTTGCGAATCTTTGTTTTGTTTTTATTTTTAACTTTGCCTTTATCCTTTTCTTTATCTATTTACGTACTCACCTCTACTTTCATTCGTGTATTTGTCTTTATCTTAGCCTTATTCTTTAACCTTTTATTAGCACGTTTTTGTTAAATTAATACCATTTGCATACATTTAAGAAGCACTTGATTCCGTCCCAACCATTTCCGTGGGCAATTTCAGTAGAAATTGCCGATTTACTCCCAACCAACCAACCGCCGCTAAAGAAGTTTCACTTAAAAAATGTTGCAAATGTACCCTGTTATATTCCTTGGATTACCTTTGGCCATTCTTTTAACAAATTTTTCACTTTTTACACCGATCAACACAAAATTACGCCGGAATTATTGATTTCTATAAACAACTGAAGTTCGAGCTACCATGAAACACCATAAAACAGTCGAAGTTACCATTTATTAAAATTAAATAGGCTTGGAAACTTCATCGCGCATTCCGCGAAAAGCTCAATGGCCCCGAAAACAACGCAACGCGTTCAGAGAAAATTTCAGCAGCACTGAGAGCTTAACTGCTTGCGAT